GGCAGCGCGGTATGGTCCAAAGCCCTCTGAAGTCTTCTGAACCTCTGCCCCGTCTGCCGCTGTAACCTGGGTTTGTCTCTTGTAGTGAGGAAGGAGCTGATGGCCGAGGCAGCTGCAAGCGAGAAAGGGCTCTCCGCAGAGGAAAAGGTACAAGAGATGCTGCTATTCCCTGATCAGCACCCTTCTGTGCTGCTGTCCCCGTCCCGTGCAGACATGCCAGGGCATTTAAAAACAAAAAAACCTACAAAAGCTTCCTGCGTTCAGTTCGGTGCTTGGTTTTGTCTCCTTTAGGACCTTGCCTCCCCAGAGAAGGAAGGGGCAGCTGCCCTCTCTGTTTCAGGGGTCTATTTCATTTGCCCGTTGACTGGTGCAGTTGTAAGGAAAGACAAGAAAGAAAAGCACCTCAGAGAAGCCATCCAGTCGGTAAGCGCCATGTCTGCCAGCTGCACAGCTTTCCTTCCTCCTGTTTCAACTCATTTTGTGGTGTGGGTCCCCTCAAGCTGTGACGTCTCCAGCTCTCCCTGTAAGATCTCCACTGTCTCCCAAAGGACAGCTCTGTTCAGCTGTAGCCATACAAGTGTCTGTCCAAGCACCCTCCCTCCGGCTTGCTGGAAGTGCTGGGACTGGGAACTCTGGCCCTGTACTGGTTTTGGCTGAGACAGAGTTAGTTTTCTTCATAACACCTCAAATGGTGCTGTTTTGGGTTTGTGATGAAAAGTATTTTCATCACATCATTCATATTTCCAGTATTGATTACATACTGGAAACAGCAAATAAATTCCTTTGCTTTGCTTGCATGCACTGCTTTTGCTTTACCTATTAAACCATCTTTAGCCCAACCCATGGTGTTTTTTTTTCCCTTCCCCTACTTTTACCCTTCCACTTCTCTTCCCCATCCCACTGCGAGGGGAGCAAGCGTGGTGCTGAGCTGCCAGTTGGGGTTAAACTACAACATGCCCACACCTCCCTTTGCACAGAGTAGCATCAGCTCCCCCCTGAGCAGCTTCTCTCCTTCTCCCTCAGTATTTCTCCGTAGACCCGGTGGCTGCCTCGATCATGGAGATTCACACCTTTAATAAGGACCGGGAGAAAGTACGAGTGGGCGTGGAGACCATGGCCAAGTAAGTGGGTTGTGGTAGTGGGACTGAGCACGCAGGTAGCTTGTCCCTTCCTGACAAGGCCAACAGGCAAGTGGATTTTCTTGTGCTCCGGGCAAAGGCTGAAGAAAACCAAAGCCGAATGCTTGAGCCATCTTAAGTGTCTGTTGAAATAAGGTCAGCATCTCAGAGATGTTTTAAGAGTTGGTCCGCTAGTCTGAGAAGTTTGGGAGCTGCTGGTTGAGATTGGCCACCTCCATCTTCTGTCTGGCTTGGGCATGAAACACCAATGTATTTTACTTTCCTCAGTTCCTCAGCTCTTTTATCTGTGAGAAATACCATGAGGTCTCTTAGTGTCCTCTTACACCTGGGGGTAGCATGTCCTGCTTTGATCCATGGAGTGCATTCCTCTTTCTGCAGATACTTGGATAACATCTATCTCCACCCAGAGGAGGAGAAATACCGGAAAATCAAACTGCAGAACAAAGTGTTTCAGGTGAGGTCAAGACTCCTGCAGGTGCTCTGCCTAGGAAAGTCCTTGCCTGGAGCAGACTACATCTAAATTCTTTCCTTTTCTTCCAGGAAAGGATAAGCTGCCTGGAAGGGATACACAGATTTTTTCAGGCTATCGGGTTTGAGACAAAAACACTGCCTGTTCCAGGACAAGGCAAGAAATCTTAAGTGTGTTAAACTGGAGTCAGGAGTTTAAGTGGTGGTGGGACATCCCAGGGGAAGCTAGTGAGGCAGATTTGGTTGCCGAGAGCTCCACAGGCTGTAACAAAGGCTGTTACTCCAAGGCTGTAACAGAAACAGCCGCTGACCCTGCAGTTTCCCTGTTAAGACATTGTCTTTTCTTGAGATCCTTGCCCTTATTTCATATGTTACTCATGTGAAGAGCAGGAGACTCAAATCTTGTCCTTTTGGTTGTAGAGACCACAGAGGAGTACTATGTACTGAAGGAAGAAATGCTGACCAAGTTGGAAGACCTCAAGGACTACAAAGAGCAGCTTTTAAGCTCTGAGCCTGTGAGAGCCCAGCTGGATCGCCAGCTCTGCGTATTTAAACCATCACCTGAAGCTGCTCGGTTTGAGCTGCCGAATGACTTTTACAACCTCACTGCAGAAGAGATCAAACGAGAGCAACGGCTCCGGTGAGTAGGCTTAGGAAGGCCCTGACTGCCCAGGGGGCACACGATGCTGGCTTGGAGTCTTGTACCTCTCCTTCATGCTAAAAATTGCTTTCTCTCTAAAGGACAGAAGCAGTGGAGAAGGCTTCGATGCTGAGGACAAGAGCCATGCGAGAGAAAGAAGAACAAAGGGAAATGCGAAAGTACAACTACACCCTGGTACGAGTCCGGTTTCCCGATGGATACATCCTCCAAGGTAAAAAGACTTCTTACCCTTTCTTTGTACACCTCCAAAAGCTTCTGAGAATAGTTGTAGCCTAAGAGCTTGAATAATAAGCAGGCTTGAGGTGTGCTGAACACAGCTGGTAGAATAAAGCAACAAAAACCAGAGTGGGGTAACGTTTCTCTAAGAACTCTTCCCATCTCTGAGCCCTCCACCTGCCTCACCTGCACAAGGTTGGGACTGTAAGCTAGGGTTGAGTGGAGAGGGAAGAATCTCAAGGCGCTGTTAATTAAAGCGTGCTCTTCCCAGGCTACTGTGAGCAAGCTGGACTCATTAGGTCAGCTTGTTATAGTAACCAGCATGAGGCTGCCTGTGTGGTGTCAGGCTATACAACAGTATAAATCCTCTTCAAATTTTCCAGTAGAACTCTGGAAATCATTTCAGGCTTTCCCAAGTCTTTGTTACAGGCTGGCAGGGGTCTGCAACAATTGAAGTGATATTCTTCTTCGGGGATTCTGCTTTTATACTTCTCAGTTGAATCAGGCTGTTTCTGTGTCAGTGAAGTAGTTCGTAAAGTTAGCATCGCAAGCCCCACGAAACCTACCACAAAAGGTTAGATTTGGTAAATGCCAGACTCTCTCTCTCAATATCTCACCTTGTTTTCTCATGGCAGGGACTTTTTATGCACGAGAATCGGTATCTGTGCTCTACAACTTTGTGAGAGAAGCACTCAGAGATGACTGGCTGCCCTTTGAGCTCTTGGGACCCGGAGGTCTCAAACTGACTGATGAGAACTTGGCCTTCAATGAATGTGGGCTGGTGAGTTAAAAAAAATAAATAATATAGCTAGTACCTTCCACGGGGGTCTTCAGGTTGTCAGAGTCATCTGCTGCTCATAACTTGGAGAGAAGCTTGTGACTTCTGCTTTCAGTGCTTTAAGTTGTGCTCTGGCCCCTTCTTTTTAAACAGAAGCAAACAAGTAACTGCTTGAAGGCTTCTGGCTCAAGGCTAGGAGGTCTGTCTGGAAGGAACTGTGAGGACCTACCTCTTGTAGCAAATGCAGGCTGTGGTAGTTGCTAGCAGCTCTGTCAGAGGCTTAGCATCCACACTGGGAAAAGAGGGAAGGCAGCAACTGCGAAGCAAGTGCAGCTCTAGCACAAGGCTACCACCAGAAAGCCCAAAGCAGCATCCCTCAAGGAGCTTCTTGCAGAAATCCACACTTGTCCTTTTTAGCTGAAGTGTTCCTTCTAAGTTTTTCCAGGTCTGTGAACATACACAGCATGTTATGAGGTCAAAGTGTAACATTGTTATAGCTTAATAACTCTGCCTTTTCTGTCCCAGGTGCCCTCAGCCCTCCTCACTCTTGCCTGGGACGCAGCAGTCATGGCAGACATTGAAGCGTCAGGAGAGGAGCAGCCAGGAAGCCCCCTGAAACCAGAAATTCTCTCCAGGGTCCAGACACTGTCATGAAATAAAGGGGAGTGGATTCAGTGCTGGTGGTTTCAGGCTGTTCCCTTACTTTCCCACACAGGCTGTTGGAGCTTCTGGCTACATGACCTCCAAAATGACTTTGTTTTAGCTCTGAAGTGGGAGCCTAGATCCTGCCGTGTCACACCAACCTTGCAGTCACCTCCACAACTCCAGTAGCCGTACACTAAGGCAGTCGTGCCCAGTAAGACACTTACAGGACTGCTCTGAATGGCTTTAAAAAACAAGTTCTAGCAGTGACTGCTTGAGGTGTTTCCAAGACCATGATGAAGCACCACTCTCCTCCCTTGAAGGAGGGAGGAGATGCTAGTACTAGGCTGGATTACTAATCAGTTGAGCCTAGATATTGGGCTGGGCTTAGAACTCAGCTCTTCCTTTTGCTTCTGTGTGCACTGTAACTCCTATTGGAGAGAATATATTTAGATAAAATTATGCTTAGTCTGATTAAATGGAATATTTAAAGACTCAGTTCTGTTCAAAGTTATTTGAATTGCATTGCTTTTATAGGTTTGAAGTGCAGACAAGGTCCAGTCAGTGCTGGGGCTGGCACTGGTGTTACTGGTGCAGTAACTTCATGGCACCTGCAGACAGAACAGGGGACAGACCAGGAGACTGACAACAGGCAACAGCTGCCCACTGGTGAGAGATTAAGCCTCAAACTACAGCCAGTATTTTAGGGAACTAATTCATCAACCCACAAGCCATATAAAGTTAAAAGCCCCAGCCAGTTTGTCACACACATAAACAAGTTTGATGCTTGTTGTCCTTTATACGTCAATATTAAAAGTTTTTTGGTGGGGTAGAGACCAGCTTTTATGTAAACAGTTTCTACTGCAGCAGTGTATACAGGAGACTGATAATCTGCCCTGATGTGTAATTAATACTGGTCTATCCCAAAACAGGAGAAAAGGTGCATTTTTTTTTTCCCTTTTCCAAAAGTAAAGCCCTGCTGCTGTTCTATGTAGCAAGTAAGACCACAAACAGGATGATATAGATAGCATAAATTCAAATATAATTGTACATCATTTATACCCAAGGCCATGCTATACAACATTATGAACAGAGTAATTCCCCCAGTGGCATCACAATAAGCTTATTTCAAAATCCCTCCACTAGTTTTAGAGATAACTTAGATACCTGCCATTACAAAGAAGTATCAAAATTTCAATAATGCTTTATTAAGGACAGATTAATATGCAGTATTTTTAAGCTAAAAAACTAGGACTAAAAATTTAAGCTTCCATCTGGTCTGAAGCAGAACAAAGTGCTGTCTTCTCTTTACAAGAAATAGGGAATACTTTCAAGTATCTTGTTCAAAGATACACAAGGTTTAAATTTTTCTAACTCATTCTACATACATACAGAGAAGTTAGTAGGCATTTAAGTCTCAAACTGAATTAGATGGGCTGACCATGCTGGTGTCCTGGTGAGTGGCTCTTGTGCCACTGGATTCTGAAGCTGTTTCAGTAACTGCCAATGTAGAATCTGCAAAGTAGAAAATGTGTTGGTTTTGGGGTTTTGTTATGTTTGTTTTTTTAAATATCCTCATTCATCTAGTAGAATTTGACTACTATATGCTTTATCTGTCTTAGCTTGTCTGCCTGCATCTGTTGCAAGTCTCCTTTTCAATAGTATTTAAAAACTGGTTTTAATACTGGGTTAACATCAATCCAGAATAAAATCACTTCAACCATAAAAAAAGATCTTCATAATCTTTTCAGTGCTTTAGACTCAGGCAGAGTTAATCAAATACAGCTGCAAGTGTATCAACAAAGCCTGAGGAAGGCAAGCTACTGAATAGCATCCTCATCCTCAGAACAAGAGGTTACAAACCTGAAGCAAGGCTTTCATCTCACTGCAGTCTCATAATAAGCAAAAGCAGCTTAAGATTAAATGCAAAGCTTCTTGTCAGACAGTTATATTGTCTGTTATGGAAGGCAAGGAGGAATGCAGCACCAGCTGAGATAGAAAGGAAAACCCAGATATGCCTAGAATGGGTCAAACTCTACAGAATTTAGGGCTTTGGGAATATGCACGAGCCCTTATCTATCAATTAGAGGAGCTGCCCAACACAAAAAACCCTCCACTTCCCTTAATTCAGGTTGTGCCAGTAGCATTGTGAAAGAGCTCTATTGTGAGAGTGGTAAGAAAGGGCTCGGAGGTTTTGAAAGCGGTTTAGAGGAGCTGAATGCACATCATGTGGTTGGCGTTAAGTCACTGATCTGTATGATCAACTATGTATAGTTAAAACCTCACTGAGATGAAAGGAGCTGCTCCACATCCTCATCCCACTGTTTCCGAATCCGTAGCCTGAAAGGATACGCTATAGCAGTGGAGCTTTGAAAGCCATTTTCCAAGGGATAACTGGGACACAAATATAAGCAACTGCTTAGATTCTAGAGCAAAGCTGCACAGTGTTGATCAGAGCCCTCACCTGTCAAATATCTGAGAACTTGGTTATTATCTGCTGTTACTTCCTTCAGACAATTCAGCACGAAGCTAAGACTTCAAGAAGGCAGCAGAGGGGAGTTACAGTCCAGACCTTGTCAATCCTGGAAGGGCTCTGAACGTAAGTATGCACACCCCAGAGACCAGTCCTGCTCAGCAACATTTACCACTAGTTGGTGGATCTGCTGATACTGACCTCAGTGTTCACTTTTCTTACCAGAAAAAAAAAAACAAACCCAAAACATAACGAGGTAACACTGGCAGCCAAATACTAGTCACAAGCACTTTGCACTACTTAGTCGATTGGAGGGAGGAGGAAAGAAAAAGCAAGAGCAGGTTAGAGAAGACTGTAAATAGCAAAGAAGCATCTAGAATAAAACATAAAAAGCAGAGAAGTACCTAGAATAGAACACCTAGACAGAAGGACACAAGGCTTGCTGAAAAAGTGGCAGAAAACTGCAACAGGTTTAACCACACACCGTTCCCACTTTGCCGTACTCTCTCTTGTGGGAGCAAGCATCTGCCAAGAGACTGCAATGGATCTATTTTCCCACCTTTGCCTGGCTGTATATCCACAATCATGCAGTCCTCATCTTCTTCATCTTCCTCAGTGTCTGCCTGAAATCCATCCATCTCCGCAGCTTCAGCCTTAAGGAAAAAAAGGTACCAGCTGTGTAACAGCAAGCTGACAGTGCTAACCTTCGAGACCAAGCACAGCCACCGCTGTGAAAGACTTCTCTGATTAGGACTCACAGCGCAGTCTGATCAGTTGGGCATATTTGTAGGGAAGAAATAAGCAACTCCTGGCTTCAAAAGTGACTTTTGATAAAAGGCCTCATCTGCAATGGCACATACAGCAAAAAGCACGCCAAGCTTCTGCTCCAAGATGTTTCACTATTACACAACGCGATGAACAGCCTACACATCGAAAAGTCAGTTCAAATCTTAATTGAAATCTGACTCAGTTTTGTTGGTTTTTTGGGAAGGGAAATCACTCCCCTCTCTGCTGATGCTTTTGGATGCTCTCTTCCTTCTGAAGATGGAAAATGACTTCTGCTTGTCAAGTTTGAAGCATGTTCTCCCCAGGATGACTCCTCATCCTTGCCAATTAGTTTTTCTTCAGGGAGGGTGACAGTTCTTCCCTTGGCGATCCTATTTTCTGCCATGGGAGCAGCAAAACTACTGATTTTGAATCAAGAAAATGAATACAAAGAGCAATGCAAACTGAAAGTTGCCCAGCACTGAACAGCTGCAAGTGTTTTGGGTTTTTTTTTTTTTTCCCCTCAACCAGAACTGTGGAATGAAAAGTCTCAGACCTAGAACCTGGTCCCCACCCCCTACAAGCTGTTCCAAAAGAAATTTAAAAAATTTACATCTTTCATGAAAGTCACAGTTCTCAGATTAAGTATTCCTCTCCTACGCGTGTGCAGGTACTGCCCACTTGGATACCAAGTTGTTTTCTCCGCAGCTTATGTAAAAGCACCTTTACTTACCCAAGTCCTGGCGTAAGCTCCATGGCAGAGTAACACATGCCAAGGGTGGAGAACCTGACAGCCTTGACCTATACCAGTCCTTCCTGGGCTCTCCCCAGGCTCCAGCCTTGCTCAACAGGAAAGATGGGATCTCAATACCTGAGCAGTGCTGATTTAGATGTCAGGCATGAAAGGTTTTCAAGGCTCTGACACCGTTGCTCTGAGCTGCACGGCACCACACCTCACAAGGGCAGCTTTAAGATGCTTTTAAGAGCTTTGAAGTATTCAGGCTGGCGACGTAATCCTACTAAAAGCCTTTGTTTGGCTATTTCTGCGCAAGTAGTTGGTTATAAGCAGAATTTCCAATGGGTGCCAAGCAGAGATTTTTATCTCTGCCTTTATTCAGTGTATAAGAAAAAACCCAGGCAGATGGAGTTTGGGGGCTGAACAGCTTCTCAAGTCTCTGATCCCTATCGATACTTGAATGCAGAGCTTTTTCAGTAGAAAAGCCAAAGCAGCCAAAATAAAGTGGGAAGGAAAAGCATAAAAAGCCTTGTCTGAGGCTTCTTTCCTAACCCCCTTGTCCACAGGGGATGATGAATAAATCCACTGGCAGCGCAAACCCTGTCCTACCTGTAGGTTTACAAGCAACCAGCTGATAACACCAGGCTTCAGGACCTAAAGCCTTACTGTCTTAAACGCACAACAGAGCATCACTCAGCTAAAGCACCGATCGCGTACTTTTCAGTCTTCCTTTTGGATGATTAAGCTCTTAATACTACCTGTGGTTACCTTGAAAAGCAGAAGCAAAACAGGAAGACTACAACAAAGCTTAGAGCAGGAGTAGCAACTACTCCAAATCCATCTCATTTTGTTCCTATGAATTATTATATTTTTAAAGCAGCTCTTGAAATTCAGCTTTATGTGTGACAGTATAAGCCAGAGACTTTAGAGACTATTATGGGTTGAGTTGCAGCACTTATGAACCACATTTAATCAGTACACACGCAACTGATGTAAGTCACCAGCTCAGGCTATACATCTGGCAGCCATACACACACATAAAAACCTGCATACAAATTATATACAGCTGTAAAACCGAGGCCAAGC